AAAATCTCCAGGTACAGGACTTTCATTAAGCACCAACTGATCCCCGAATAGGCCGACAACCCAGTTTATCCAATTTGGGACCAAAGCCGTTGCTTTGCGTGATTTTAAAGACTTTCCTGTCCCCCTCACAGCGGACTCCGAAAGACACAGGTGACAAGACAACCAGAGACTGCAATAAGAAAGTTGGAAATCCCCAAGCAAAGGAGCCACCTGCGTGAGCTACCCGTAGCTTCCACGCACGGTGCCGCATTTTTCTCAGATCCCAAGCGAGCCAAGGACCGCCCGTTCACATTGCCGTCCTCCAAATTTTCTGTCCCAGGTTTCCCTTTGGCAGGAACTAGTCCGAAGAAGGAAAAGAACCTGAGGTTGCCCTTCTTGGTTGCCCAGGTGATAGTTTGTTCAGTGAACCCAAACAAACAGCTTCGGGGTGACGAGTTTTTAGTCTAGCCAGGAAAACTTAGAAAGGGATTCGAAGGGTGGAGTCGACTGAGCAACTAGGTTTTGCTTGTTGATGCTGTTTTTGGTGAACAAGTTTATCGAACAAGAAAACACCACGTTGATCGAACAAGGACCACACAAGCAGCACCCGGTAGCAATCCAACTTGAAACCAAGGGGAACTGGTATTGCGTTTTTTTCCTTTTTTTCCTCCGTTTGAGCCGGTTTGCCAAAAGGTTTGCGCCCGCCAGCCAACGACAACCCTAGCGGGAATGCGAGGGACGCAGGGATGGTGGGGAAGACAACGGACGTCACCACTTGCGCCCCTGCTCGACATCTCTACTTGGCTTCCCATGTAATCTTGCTTGGTCCCCCCCATACAGGGGGTCTTATAAGTGGACCCATCGTAGGTGCCAATAGCACAGGCCCTTGGCAAAACCAAAGGATCAGCGAACGAGGCCAAAATGAATGGCTGTCTGGCCAAGTTGAACCAAGTCCAAAGGAGACCACTTGACAACTCTGGACCAAAGCCACACGGTTCCCTTTTGTGAGGCTGGGTACATATTCAGACACTTCCAACCATTTCTGCGTTTCTGCGTGAAAACCCAGGTGGACACGCCAACACATGACCCACAGCTGGGCCCCAACAAATCCAACTAGTCTCCTGAGCCGCCCACCTGGCACGGGTTGGGCGATTCGACTTGGGTTTGGCTCCAAGAGAAGCAAACAAAAACACTTGGTTCAGTTTCCCTGTTGCTTTCCCGGTGAATTCAACCACAACAACCTTTTCCCCAACAAATACACACCAATGTTGAAACCACCCCAGTGGATGCCTTTGAGGATGGTTGAGTAAAATGTTGAACCCTTGCCCAGTGGATCCCAGTTGGTATGATAAGTAACCAGCCATTTTCAATTCGGTTTGTGTCGAGGGTGGCTCCCTTGGTCACCAAAACGAAGGACATGGGCTGCCATTGGAAGGGGATCAGGGGATGGTTCTCCAAAAACATTTGCCACCACCCCTGTCCAAAGGGCGGCGATTGGGCGCGTCAAAATGGGGATTTTGACTCTCCAAAATGGCTTCGGCGTTCCCTTTTACCAACCAAGAGGGGGAAACCCAAAAACGAAGAGTCATGCCCAACACTCCCTCTTGAAATGCTTGGCTTCGTTGCTGTTTGCCTTGCCCCAATCCTTTCCGAGCCAGAAGCGTATGGTGAAAATCTCCACAGGGGTCACTGTCACTGGATCTCAGCCGAAGGGTTTGCAACTTCTGATATTTACGCCACTTTGACATGCACGGGCGGTGCCGTGCGCGCGTTTGTGCAATATGAGGCATCTTGGATAATTGGAATGGGGTTGCTGGGTAGTACTATTGAGCAACATAATCATCAAGGACAGTCATATGGGTAGTCATTTAGCGCCTCATATGCATGTACATGCATGTCTTGTGAGCTTGAGTCCCTCCGAATTGTTGTGAAACAGCTCTAACAGGGCTTCACAACTTCTGAATGTCAGCTTCTCCGCAGGTGAGACACACAGCTGCAAGATGGGATCTGCCTGGTTGCTGGGAAATCAGCCAACTGTTGACGATCTCTCTGTCTCTCTCTCTCTCTCTCTCTGCGTGTCGCTGTTCAAACAAAACTTTTTCTTTGATCCCGCAATGGTCAGCATTGCCTGTAATCCTCGAAACGGGTACGAACTTTGACTCTTCGGTGGACATCTAATACGTGGGCATGTCCACCAAACGTTTTTGAGGGTGTTCCCTAGCACAACTCATAGCCACACAGTCCATCATATCCTTCACTACAACAATTCCACGCACCAGGCAAAGGGACTGGAATCTGACGAATGCTGGAAAGCAGCAAGGCCTTTTCCGCATTGACGTGTCTGGCAGGCGGTTGTGGCCATCCGGCCGCATCACTATGTACAGTTTAGACGGCCGCAACTCTGGTGCTTTGCCAGAGGCGCACACATGTACCTCTTTTCGGTTGCATCCCCACGGCGTTTCGATTGATTGACCGGAAACACATGCCGCTTTTTGGCAAAAGGGTATCTGGAACCATTCAGGATGAGTCCAAAAGGGTACACGACAGTCCTTGAGCATACCTTGAGGCGACCATCTTTCTTTGATCCCCGCTTTGGCGCCATAGTTCCGACCTTCGGAAGCCAGCTACATCTCAGTCCCAATCCGAGTCGGAATTGTTGAAATGCCGGTTCCTGGCGAACGCGATGCCGGGAATGACCGTGAAGTATCCCAGAACCCTTGAAACACCCAAGGGCACCAAGGGACCCTCTGCACATGGCTGCTTTCCAATGCTCAAGCCTTTGAACAAACGAATTCAAGAAACCATGGCTTCTGCCATTTCTTCTTCTGTAGTTGAATCTCGCCTGCCCAGCCCCTCAAGTTGATGCCCAGCTGAACTACACATTTGAAAAGTCTATTCAATTTGATGCGGGATCCCATGAAAGTGATTCAAGGCCCAACGTTGTGACCATTTGTTCCCCATTAACTCGAAGCTACAGACAAGCTCGGAAGATGTGTAGAATCTCAAAACGGATGTATGACCGTGCATGAGTCACGGTCCAACTACGTCCCCGTAAAGGACATGGGACAAAAAGTGAGCCACATGGTGTGCTTCCATTTGCTGAAGTTTTCTGGGGAAAAATGTATACGTCCAATAGTGATAGATTCCCTTTAAAACCAATCAGGAACATATGCAAAAAACAACATCATTTCAGCAAATGGGAGAAAATGGTGGTGTTCCCACCCAAGCTGCGAAAAAGAACGGGGGCTCCCCAAGCAAATGGAACTCGGTGGGGCTTTGACCGGAGCTTTTCTTCATTTGCCAGGCATTGGACAAGCATCAAGCTACGTGCCGAAGCCTGGGCTTCCAGAAAGGTGCCCCTGATATACATAAATACATACATATACATATGTATATATATATATATATATATTATACACATATATATGTGGTCAGCCCCCCCCCATGAACTACCTTTCCTGCTTTCTTGATAAATGACCGCTATATATATAAGATACATATGAACAATATATTTACAGACAAATCAATAACTAAATGACAAACTAAACCATAATAACTGAATGAATAAATAAACAAACCAATGCATAAATAAAAAGGGAACTAAATAAGCAAATAAAGACAATGATAAACCCAAATAATAATAAACACTTTCTTTGAATAAACAGCTACATAAATAAACAAACCAATAAACCAACAAATACAGATATATAAATATATATATGTATACATATATATATATAAATACATACACACATATATGAGTTGCGGACGAAATCTCTTGATAACTTGAATGCCATTGATAATTTGGGTGGGCCCCTATCGGTTATGCAGTGTTTGGAGGTCCAGCTAAAAAAAACGCAACTTTGTAGTGCAAGTGTAGTACGCGAAGTACACTTCCGCAGCTCCAGCTCGAAAATCTCAACTTTGTAGTACAAGTCTAGTACGCGAAGTACACTTCCGCAGCTCCAGCTCGAAAATCGCAACTTTGTAGTACAAGTCTAGTACGCGAAGTACACTTCCGCATCTCCAGCTCGAAATCGCAACTTTGTAGTACAAGTCTAGTACGCGAAGTACACTTCCGCATCTCCAGCTCGAAAATCGCAACTTTGTAGTACAAGTCTAGTACGCGAAGTACACTTCCGCAGCTCCAGCTCGAAAATCGCAACTTTGTAGTACAAGTCTAGTACGCGAAGTACACTTCCGCAGCTCCAGCTCGAAAATCGCAACTTTGTAGTACAAGTCTAGTACAAGCTCCATCTTCGAGTACACGCTCGCTCATGGCTCGAAAGGGCTCCTTCTCACGCAGCGCAGGTTTCGTAAAGAAAGGTGTATCGGTCGGCGTATCGGTCGGGGGCATCGGTCGGGCGGGCAGACGTTTGCGGGTTTAAGAGAAGTCTTTGTTGAGAGTTCACAAACATGAGGGGCTGCTAGCACAAAGGAAACGCAATGGGAACCTATGTTCAATGTACTTCAACTCGAGCCAGCTGCTGCAAAGTACAAATCTCGGGCCAGTTGCTGCAAAGTCACTGCAGCCTCAAAATTTATCGTCCTTCAACATTATGTGTAATATGTGTATGTTAACCCTTTCAAATAATCAGGGGTATCGGTTTTGGGTGGGCCCCTATCGGTTTTGCAGTCCTTGGCTACTTTGGGTGACCCCACGGCGGCCCGCATACTACTGAATACTACCGAAGATTTTGCCGGATGCTCACATGTGCGGTCTTTCTCAGGGCGCGGGTTTTCCAAAAAGCCAAGAGAAGTCTCCCCCTCCGAGCTCGGAGTTCCGCTCCTTCGAGGCGAGCAGCGGTTGCAGAGGCATTGGCCTCGCCGGGGACCGGTGCCGCCGGGCGTGGAAAGCGCGGAAAGTGCCAGCGGGGGGCAAGGAGATTTGGTCCACTGATGGGGTGGGCCAGGTGCCCACTGCTGGTCGAAATTCGTACGTTGGAAGCACCGGTTCTCGTCCGACCGAAGCTATGCAACATTCAGGGAGTTAGCCAGCCAATTTGGTCGCTCAGGTGCCCTGTCTTTTGCCAGGTGCCTGTGGATGGTTGCGAAATCCGCTTATCCCGCCGTTCAGAACCCCTGGCTTCTGATGATTTCTCTGTAAGTAGCAACAAAGACCGATTTCCCCGTGTTTCTCAGTGGTGCAGGATTTTGTCCATCCGCAGTATGTGGCACGCACCAGAGAGAGCCAGAGACACAGAGACACATGCACAGAAAGAGAAACTGATTCATTCCTCTGCTTATGCGGAGCGGGGGGGAGGGTGTGTGGATAAGACTTTCACATCTGGGAGAGTTATGCTTTTCCAATTGAGAGCAGGTAGGACCTATATGAATCGAAATAGCTCTTCGTCCGAGAGCTTTGCCATGGTTCTGGGCATCCGTACATCTAAATATCAAATTCGAGCACATGCGCAGAAACGGGGGCCCTTTCACCGGAAATGGAAATGGCGATCCCCAGTTTGAACTTTCAAAGGGAAGGCAGCCATCCTGGCGAGTTTCATTCCTTTACAACAGGGCCTAGAGGTTTCAACTGCAACGGGTGTGGAGAAAAGCCTTCCATTCTGCGCTTTTGCCAAACGGTAACCAAGTACCCGTATAGATGCACGAACGATATGTTATCCCTTTGAGACACCCCAAATTCATGTGTATCTACCAATGTGTGAACACTTCAAGGGACACCAATTTCAAACCATTTGGAGACACATCCATATAGGAAACATGAGGGGTCAGCAACGAATTCCGACCCAACCATTGAACGCACGTTTTCAGTTGAACCACAGTGAACACATCTAAACTGTGCTTGATCCCAAATGAAACAATTCTTCACGGGCTAAGGCTGAGGCATATGGAAGCCAGCATCAAGCAAAGAAGCAGCCTCTGCGGTGTGGAGCCAATCACCGGAAAAAAATGGGTCGCGCCCGGTAACCCCCGAAGCCCCCCCCACCCCTGAAAGGTTCTCGGGACACCTTATTAGATGGCGGTGTTGAGAAGGGTTCTGCAAAATCATTCCGGGGGATCCGGGGGGAGGTGGTCTCATGCCCCGCCTGAGCTCAATAAATGTCTCGCTCAACAAAAAGCCAACGGCCAAAATGGCAAAGCACCACAATCAAAGGTCAAACGCACTAACATCAAACAACAAACGGATAGACGCAAATCATGCAATTGGTTTATGAAACTGGTTCTTTTAGTGTCAAAACACTGGTTTTCTCTCTTTGTGTGGTGTCCTTTTAGCTTCAAACCTCCAGCGGCCAGGGAGCAGAAAGACACCTTGCGGTTGAAGGGAAACGCAGCCGAACCAAAACAGGGCGCTGCAGGTCCCCTTCTGCAACCAGCAGCCACTTGTCGAACGAGTTTGGATTCTGTACACAGGGGCACCGACAGCTTTCCGTGCAACATGAAATCCTTAGCTTGGTGGTGCTCAGTAGCTATGGAATGACCAAGTTCGGGCAATGGGAAGGAATCCAGGGATTCACTCAGCAAAAACCACAAGGGATTGTGAATAGGGGTCATCCCCTCCCTGCTGAGAACTAGCAAGTCAAGAGGGTTTCCCATTTCGACCCTACAAACCACCGGCAAAAGACCCCAGCGAGTACGTACGGCCTTACTTGGCCTTCTTGAACGCAGCACTTGAAATACCCCCCTTATTTGGAATACACGAACCCTTCAAGTCCTTGTCTCAGTGAAATCGAACTCTGCTGCCAGGCGAGTTTCAACCGCCACAGGAGAAATACTGGGAAACTCGTGTGGGTGGTACCCAAAAGCTCGACAACTCAAAACGGCAGGCGTCTTTTATTGTGTCTATTAGCACAGCCAATTGCAGCATGAGAAGTGGTGTAGCATCTTATCTTTTGGGAAGTCCCATTGGGGTGTATTCAACATCCAACATTAGTTGACCTGGCCCGGTGGAGATAAACGGCTCACCTTTTAGTTTGCCACGGCAAAACATCGGGGGTTGGGTAAGTGGTTCCCCTTTCCCAGACGGGCGCCAACTTCACAAGACCGCAGTTTTTTGGTTGCTTATGACTCGCTGTGCTTATACATTTCTCGCGAAGCTTTGTTCGGTGAAACCCCACCAAACCCCTGGACTGAAGGTAGACCCCAAATAAGGACAGAGTCAACAATGGGGAACCAAGCCCAACCTTTGTGGTGTGTGTGTGTGTGTGTGTGCGCGTGTGCTTGTTTCTTTCTTTGTTTGTTTGCTTGTTGCAACGATTTGTTCATTGAAAGCCCACCAACCCCCTGGACTGAAGGTAGACCCCAAATAAGGACAGAGTCAACAATGGGGAACCAAGCCCAACCTTTGTGGTGTGTGTGTGTGTGCGCGTGCTTGTTTCTTTGTTTGTTTGCTTGTTGCAACGATTTGTTCATTGAAAGCCCACCACACCCCTGGACTGAAGGTAGAACCCCTGCTTGATTGCTTGCTTGCCTGCTTGCTTGTTGGCCTGGCTTGGTTTGTGTGTGTTCAACTCGCCCAGTCACCCTCTTTGAGGGCTGCGCGCTCCGGCGGTGGCGCCAGAGAGGCACCTGGAAGGAACCGGGCTCGCGGGAAGACCACTCGGTTTTGGAGGGACAACCAAGGGGCCCAAAGAACCAAGGGCAAACTCAAGGGAAAACAAAACAAAAAACGAGGAAGACCATTTTTCCCAGGGTTAAAAGGGAAACCAAGAGAAAACCCAAGGGACAACCAAGGGAGACCATTCTGGAGGGTTTAAAGGGAAACCAGCTAAAAAAACGCTTCTGAGAAATTGGGAGAAGGAAGCTCGGGAATTGCTTACACAGGCCACTGGGGACGGGCCAAAAGGTCGGGGAAAGCAAGCAATCTGGTGCAAGGGTCATTTGGTGTGCTGCTTTTTCGCGGGGCCAACAAGGGGGTTCACTATTTTGACACTTCCTTTACTTCAAGGGGTTCATTATTTTAACAGCTTCCCTATGTTTAAACCGCCGTTGCTTCCCCTTCAAGGGAACCAGGGTCTCGTTCAAGGCATTTTGCTCAATGCTGAAGATCATTGACTCCAAATCTCTCAATGCTAAAGAGGACAATAAAACTCCGCTGAGCAGAGGGCATCCAATGCCAGCCTCAAGAACATCCTGTCCCGTTCGGAATTAGTTTCACATTGCCAAACAACAGGCCGTCGTTTCCCAGCAAACCACCCGTGACAAGCGTGCAACGACTCTGCCGAAATGGCCAAGAACTACGCCAAATGGGAAGCAAGCTCAGGTGGTTCAACGTGATCAGTAAAGGCAACACCCCCCACCGAACCTCACAAAACAAGGCAAATGAGCTACAACTCACAATGGCAAACGTCCATCCTGTACCATATCTGGCATTTTTGCGCTCCTTGCTCGACCAAGGTGACCGCATGCTAAGCTTCCGTTGGCTTGACAAGATACACAAACGCTTTTGCCAAGCATGACAACCTCTCTCCAAAATCATCCTTTTGTAATTTGATCCTCATCCCGTTGCTTACCTCGGAGTCACTGGATTCCTGCGGTTGATCAATTTACTGGTGGCTTTCCTTGAACCCATCGCCGCTTTAGATTCCCAAAGGGGACATGGCCCAGCAACCCTGACACATGTTGGAACAATTCTTTGAACATCTTTCGAATTTTGTTTGGGGACTCTGATCGGGTCTGGTTCTTTTGCCCCATCGGAATTCAAACGGCCTACTCAGCACGTAGGGAATAAAAAAAGGCGGCTCCCGTCTATGCTTGGGATCCCATAACCTTCGTCCAGGGTTCATTTGATTGCATCCCAACCATGTGTTTTGTTGGAACCCGTGTTGTGATTCTGGTTCCTTTCCTGGCTTCCCTTTAGAAATTTAGAAAGCAGAAACACCTCACGCAGCTCAGGGCGGGGCCACCAGTAGTACTCAGCAAAGAAGCTGCGCCGCACCTGGCAAGGGGCGAATAATCCAAAGCAACATGTGTTTGCGGTTGGACCATAGGTGTCCTTTTAGGGGGAAATAGATGGCCCTGGTAGATGATTACACCACCAGGTAAACCAGGGCCATCTATTTTTCTACCAAAACAACAAAAAAGGACAGCTAGGGGTTGGACGTTGGTTACCTTGCAATTTGTGGCTTTCACGGTTTTTCAGTATGGCAGGTAAAATGCTACACGAAACGAAACAGCAGCCACTCCCACCCCAACCCCCGCTTTCTCTTTCGGGGTTAGCGGTCGGGTGGGGGGCGGGGTAGGTCGGTGGATGGGTGGGTGGGTGGGAGGGCTGTTGAGCGTTTGGGCGTTTGCGACATTTCTGAAGCCCCTTTTTCGGGCTTCCAGCCAAAGCACATCATTGCATGAACCATTCAACCAAATTTGGAGGTTCCAACGACTACGTGGCACCTCCCCTTTTGTTGCATGGTGTCCGGGGTTTGGAGCAGATGCCGAGGGGCTCGCTTGTCCCCGGTGAAAGACGCTCTCGCCAAAGTTGGCCTCCGAGAGGCTCCAACTTGCCCTCCGCAGTCGGTTTCGGTCCCCGTAGGATTGGACATGTCTCAGTCCTTCCTCGCGGACGTGGCTGGCTTCTGTGCAGCCTGGTGAGTGTCTGCTGGACAGGTAGAACAGCGACGAATCGCGATATGCCAAGCCCAAAACGGTCGAGCCCATTTTTGGCCGGTGTTGCGTTCGCTACACTGAAGCCAAGGTCGGAGGGCTATTTCTTATTCTACCTCCACTTCTTGAGTGGTTCAGAAACAGATCAGCCTTGTTACCGAACGATCTTCCCAACAAGTAAGTTCAACTGGGGAAACGTTGGGCCAATCCCTGGTAGCGCCAAAAGGGAAACCTGCTGTACTACCTCAGCTTCGCCCCCGAACAAAAACATATCTTTTCAAATGCTGGTCCATATGAAATAAACACTGAATATGAACTCATACTGACATTCTAGTGTGTACATTGGCTCCGGCGGGCGTGTCTCAAAACTAGGCCAGGCAACCCCGAGCATGGAACCCCAACACCCCTCTGTTTGTAGGTCCCATGAAAGCACCCTTGGGAAAATTTGTTTGCTGGCCCCCTGAAACCAGGTTGCCCTCATGAACCTGCAAAAACAAGGGCTGTGAGTTTTCCGCAACACCGCCTCCAAAGGGAAAAACGCCAACCCGCACGTGCAGCTGCCGGGATGTCAGTCCGCGGCCTCACGACAACTTCCATCGCCCTTGTCCAGGATGTAGCTCCGATGGATGCTGGCCTGGCCCAAAGACAAAGCCTGGGGCCCAGTGGGCGGCTTCAAAAGGGGCCCATTCAGCAGGTTTACTTTGAACCGCAAGGGTTCCAAACTCCAGGACATCAGCCAAAAGGATGGGGGCTGCACATCCAATTTCAGAAAATCTAGCCAACTGCCAAGTTTTGGGCCACACCCGCGTTGTTGGTTGCGAACGCAAAACTCAATTCCTCTGGTTTCATCAATGAAAGTTGAGCGGACTTCCATCCCGCAAAACCAAATGTACTCTTGGTTGCTTGCTTCAGGCAACCAAAGTGAACCGCAACGGGTTGCGTGATTGAGTGTTCGCTCAAGTTGGTGGTGTGCAGAAAAACGTTTCCCCTGTGAGGTACGTGCGGTCCATGCGGATTCACCAAGGAGCAACTCAATTGAGCCCATTACAGCCTGTAAGAAAATTAGACCAGCCTGGTTTTTCCAGCAACATCCTTCCCTGGAAGCTGTCTGCAAAGCTGGGGCTTCAGCCAAGGATTGGCTTCCGACCCCCACAGCCATGGCTGGGGAAAAATAACTCTACCCAAGTCAGGGTTGCAGCCAAGAGCCTGGCAGGGTTCAATTTGGGCCCTGGCAAAAGCAACCTCAACACATTTTGGTCCCAAACAGGAACGCCAGAGGGATACTAAGCAACACAAGGGTTTGGACCACCTGTTGGGGGCCCTTCTGGAGATCCCAGGCAAGTCCCGGCGCCTGTTCGCAGAGGTCGCAAACGGTCAGGCTCTGACACACCGCGCAGTGCCTGCAAACAACACGCGCAGGGGCTATGTTCCACTTGCAGCCAGTGCAGGCAGAAAACAAACACGTATTGGCCCAAATCCGGGTACACAACAAACACATGTTCGGATGTTGGTCCATATTTCGTCCAATCAAAACAATAAGGTAGCTTTGGAGAAGCACCCCTCCCAGTTTTAGGTTGATTCCAGTGAGTGGTGCGTTGGCATAAGGGTTTTTCCTTTTCCCTACTTGCAGTATGTAGCCGAGTTGTTTCAATTTAGATCCCAAATCCTAATCCGCAATCCGTAGCACCACTACAAAACACATCATCGCCGTCTGGCATATTCCATTTTTTTTGCTTAAGCCCCTGGAAAAAATAAAAACCGTTCCAGTAGCGATGATTTCCTTTTAAAACCAACAAGGAGAAATATAAAATGTTCTTCAGCAAATGGAAGCATAAGGACTAAGGATTGAATATTTCAACGCCCAGTTTAGGAGCCTAGGTCCTCCAGTCGAGAGGTTAGAATAAGGGTACCAACTTTTTCTGTAGTCTATTTTAGAAGGGGGGCCCTCCCAACAAAAAAGGGGTAAAAGAGCGGGCACCTAGCTGGGGGACCTACCGTAGGTGGACGAATTAATCAACCCCTTGCAGATGTAACTCCCCCTGCCCGCCCAATTTCAAATTTATTGCCCGTTTGAAAGTGTAACACTGACATTGCGGGGTACGGGTGTGTGTGCGCCGTATCCGTTGGCGGCTTGATTAATTTGTCCATCTACTGTAGGAGCAGTCCCGGCCTGTTGCAGAAGGAGCATCGCATGGCCTCTTTGTCCGGGTAGGTGCCCTGTGGACACTCCAACGTGCCTGACAGAGCGGGTCGCCGCTTGCTGAGGACGTGCAACCTAGGGTTAAATGAGTCATGCTCAAACCCGGTATTCAGATGGTCGACCCAGAACCTTGCAAAGGATTAAGAAGGCGGATATCCGCAGCTATTTATGGTTGGGATTCTCCCTTACTAACCTTCATCTACCCGGGTTTTTGATTGTGACTCAAATGGTCAATGGGGTAGGGCTTGGCCATTCTTACCGTGGCCACGACCTACTTTAGTAGGTTGACCTTTCTTATTGAGCACGTCCCTATAATATCCCAGCTGGTACCGGTAATACGGACCCCCCCCCCCCCGCAGAAAAGGACCTTCATCGTGGGTGAGCTTGTTCAGCAACCGGTAGATGTCACAACTCTCCGCTTGTGCCCTGCACTTGGCTGCTAAGGATTCCAGAGTCAACTGTCAGATGCCTTTCCGAGAGACCTTGTTGCGGAGGCTGTGTGTCTTTTTGAGCGTACCCGTTTATTGCCGATTTAAAGGGACATCAAAAGGACATCCACCAATTTCGAGTCCCCATATTTCCACATCTTCGGGTGAGCAACGTTGGGAACTTTGTGGGTCGAGCCGATGTTGGCCATGAGTTACACGGCATCTAGAGCTTGACATATGAGCCACAATCAAACTTACTAGACCTGGACGCTTAGTGAGTCTCCCAGGTTTCTGTGAGGAAGGGAGTCCCCCCATACCCCTCCTCAATGGACCAGACCGAACCTCATATTTGTGTCTTCTTCTGAGAGTACCGAATCCGAGCTTGCATTGAAGGGATAGCAACCCAACACCACCATTTTTGGGCTGCGCCATTTTGACACGTTTTGCTGTACCTCACAACTGCAACTTTCTGTGAGACTCGCGATGATTGGACTCGATGTCCACTTTGAGACACACCCCTTGGGCCCGGGCAGGAATGGGTCCTGGATGCCGGTGGCAAGGCTTCAGTCAATTTTGGGCCTGCTTTTGGATGGCCTTTAAAGGGAAATCCGAAGGAACCCGTGGCCGTCACTTGGGTGGCTCGATGTAGACAAAGACATTTGTCAAATCTAACAACCTGGTCTTGGTGAAAGGAACGAAACAAATCATTTAGGTTACGCAAGGAAACGAGGGGCAAAAACCTGATGACAGCAGCCAACCCGATGCAGCTTCTTGATGGGTCATAAACTGATTTGCGTGAGGATAGCGCTGCCCTAGGCAGACTTGTGATGGCAACGTCAAACAAAGAAGTCTGCTTCGAAGTGCATGAGTTCACATCTAAGGAGGCGATGATCATAGTCAAAGATCCCGGCATTTCTTGCCCTATTTCTTACTCCTGCACCTGTGCATGCACGGCATGAAATGATATACCATGTGTAAAAAAGCCTCTCAAACTCGCCGTTGTTCTCTATGCCTGGCAACACGGAGACGGGTTGCAGAACACCGAAACCAACACGAAAGCCCCAATGCGGCCCATGCCGATATGTCGACAATTCTTCGGTGATTGCTCTGCACGGTTTTCATGCAGATACCAACTTTTCGCTTAGACCTGAAGGAGCTGAGTCCCTGTTTGGGAGCTCCCGGAAGGCCTTTGCTGGTGTAAACACGGAGCCATGCAATCGCGAGGGTACAAGTTTCCCTACTCAGGCCACCAGCATGTGATGGTTCTTCCTCTCTCATCGCTCTTTGGGTCTCTTCTATGGACGCTTCTTGCACGGGTTGCCAAGCTCTGTAGGTTTTCCATGTGCCATCAAGTGTTTATCATTTGGACCATTTACAATACACATGCAACAAGTACAAATTCTCAGGTGCTGTGCCACAGGTACCAAGCATCGTGCAATTTGATACGTGACACCTGTCTTTTTACGTGGATGTGCCAGGGGTTGTCGCGCCAAAAGGATCGACTCTTGTCTAAAATCCCAAGGGGTTGACCATCCCTGGTGTAAGCACTCACCAAACAAAGACAAACCCTCAACTTGCTTGTACAAGCAGAACGCGACTCGTTTTACATCGGACAATGACACTTGGTTGTGTACTGTGTATTGTTTGCATCGGTAATGAGCTACCAGTAAGATGAGCTAACATAAACTAATGGCATCCTAACTCATAACTCTAGCCCTGACACCTTGATGCCAATCTTAAACATACATCCCGTTTGGGGATGGGTTGGTGTTTCAAGGTTGGACATCGCGAACGCAACACCGTAGTTTTTGTTTAGATGTTTCACAAACAAACAAACGAGCGAGCAAGCAAGCAAGCAAGCAAGCAAGCAACCAACCAATCAAGACACAAACAAACAAGCAGGCAGAAAGTAAGCAAGCAAGCCAGCCAGCCAGCCAGCCCGCCCGTCAGCACGCCAGCACGCACGCACGCACGCACGCAAGCAAGCAAGTATTGTCGATGTCTGGAAACATTACCGAAAACCGTCTCCCAGGCTGGGTGGTTGCAAAAAAGCCTCTAATTGTCAGCCTTAGCATCCCCAAACCCCCTCCCTGAAACCCAAACTCCCTCCCCCAAACGCAAGCCCCCTTCACCCCCCCAACCCCCTTTGACAAACCCACCAACCCAACCCAGCCCGGAGTCCTTGGGTCGAAGAAGGGCCGGCGTTCGCCGCAGCTGTCCCGAGACACCTCCAGAGAGTAGATGCCCCGGGCGGCCTCGGACTTGACTCTCGAGGCTTCCGGAAAAATTGACCCGAGGTGTCAGGTTCACAAGGGACAAGTAAAGGAACACCACTGCTAGGTCTATTCTTGTAGGGGGACCCTCCCCCAAAAAAGAAATGGTGAAAGGGCGCTACTGGCGGACCTAGTAAAGGAATACCACTGGTTTTGAAGGGAGGTTTATGGCTTGGCAACTGGGTTGGAGAAACTTCTTTCCTTGGCTGCAGGTGTGTGGGTGATTTTTTTATTGGCGAAATCCCGAAGCAACACGCCTTCAAGGCGGGACATCACACTGGATTCCGCCCGGGTCGCTCCCGACTTCCTGCCTGCATGGGGTCCGCAGACTCAATGGTCATTGTGATCTTCCGAACATGACCTGAGCCGTTGGGAAGCAGCCCTTCCTGAGATACCAAAGCGGTCGATTCCCCCAACAACTTGATCACTTTCAAGAAAACTCGCTTGGTGTCACGCAGAGTCGCAAGCTAACGCCGAGCTCGACAGGGCCAGCCCGGTTGAGGTACCCGCGATCTGATCACGTGTCCGGGGTGCCGATTGGACGAACAAATTAAAACAAAGCCCGCCATCCCCAAAGATGGTACCAAGTTCACCTTGCAGGTGTGTATTAAATTCTGTGGGACACATTGACCCACGGACTGCCCAGACCTTCAGTTTGCACTCGGAACCAGCGCAGACCAAGACATTTGTCAGTTGATAGTAGTGGCTCGCAAGATGTTGATTTTGGACTCCTCCATGCTCCAAGTTGGCTGCTTTCCTTTTGGCAACCCTCCCTCAACCGCGAGAGGACCTCTAAAAAATGAAAGCCAAAGCATCTCAAAGAACTGGTTGATGGTCCATGCCATCTCTCAGACCCAACTGGGTTGACAGTTCGGCCCAAACCAAACGAAGACAACTTCTCAACCCTTGCTTGGGCTTTGGACTCTGCCTCAATGGGAAGGAAATTCAGGGTGCGGGTGGGAAGAAGGAATGCGCTGGAAATTTTCTCAGAAAGCCGGGTGGAAAATGGCACTCGGAAGACATCTACTTTCACCCAAGGTATATACAATTGGTTCTTCTGAATTGATCTTTGAATCCCTTGCTGCAGGGCCTATCGATGCTCAAAAGGCAAATTACCTTGCCACTTCTGTGATACCGCCACAAGGTCCCCAAATGCCCCTTTTGAAACCGGCAATCGTGTACCATCACAGAAGCGAGGTTGCTTGCCCACCCTCATGCAGAAACAACCCTGACTCGGCCTCATGTTTCTAGCTGCATTGCACTTCCCCGATTCCAGCATCCATTTCTTGGGATGGCATCACTCTGGCTGCTACATAGGGGGTCTGCAAAGAAACAAATCAACAATGGTCGCCCCAGTTTGGTCTCCCTTTGGATAAACTAAACAGTTTGGCTATTTAGCACGCCCCAAAGAACGATGGCTGAAACCGATGGAACCCGGAACTTTCAGAAACGTCCTGGGAAATCCAATGGACACCACCGCCAGTGATTTGTTTGAGCTTGTGAGACAGCTTTTCGTGCAAACTGTTGCAGGTCGGGACATGAGCCCCAACAAAATGTGACTTGCCCCACAAGGAGACATGGGCAACTTTTTGCTCTCGCACTCGTTGTTGTTGAGCACGTGCCTCCGTTTGCTTGAGCTCCCAAGACAAAATAGACATATTTCCAGTAGTGATACATTCCCTTTGAAACCAACAAGGAGAAACACAAAAACATGTTAAGCAAATGGACGCGTGAGCTCCAAACGTGCCCTCCCAAAAGAACGAACCGCGGAAATCTTTCGACCAAACCTTCTGACTTCGTGAAAGCTGAGCCGCCCCGCCGGGGTCAACCAAGAAGACCTGCCAGGAGGTTCAATTGGGCGTCGTTTTTTTTCTCTTCTTCTTCTTCTTTTTTGGTGTGGACCCCGCTTTGGTGGGCTTTAAAAGGGACACCTTTAAGCAAACACTTATTTTGAATCGTCCAGAACCTTCCAATCATGGACTTCCACAACCTGCTTTCCTACAGGTTCCAAATGATCACACATGGGTGTGTGTAAAAATGGGGGACCCGCCCGCAAATCAACCGGTGGTTTGCCTTTTGATGTCCCTTTGAACCATCAACATGGTACCAGCGCTGGACAAAGTCATGCCTAAGTCATGCCCCCATCAGTTCTCAATACCAAATCCCCATGTACACGCAACTTCTAAGAAGTCATGCCTACGTCATGCCTGGACTTCAAACGCGCATGGAACGCAACATGTGAAGTGGCACGCTTTTGTTCCAAAAAAGGTGAACGCTCAGGCATGAACCCCGCATGGAACGCAATATCTACAATAAGCTGCTTATAAGCCCTCAAA